AGAGAGGTCAAGGAGTAGGAGCACTGAATAGTGGCCATTAGCTTTGGCGGTTAGCAGGTCGTTGGAGAGTTTGAGTAAGGCAGTTTCGGTGGAGTGTAGGGGACGGAAGCCGGACTGTAGGGGATCGAGGAGGTTGTTGTCGTTGAGGTGAGAGCATAGGCGGGTGTAGACTAGGCGCTCGAGGAGTTTAGATGTAAATGGGAGCAGGGAGATGGGTCTGAGGTTGTTCGGGTCATTGGGGGTCCAGGGAGGGCTTTTTAAGTATGGGGGTGATGTGTGCATGTTTCAGAGGGGAGGGGAAAGTGCCTGAGGAGATGGAGAGATTGAAGATGTGGGTGAGGGAGCGTAGGATGGAGGAGGAGGAAGGTCGTAGGGAGTTGTGAGGGGATAGGGTCGAGGGGGGCAGGTGGTGAGGCGGCGGGCATCAGAGAGGATCTTGGAGACTTACTCGATGGTAGTAAGGTCAAAGGTGTGGAGTGTTGGGGGAGCTTCAGTATGAGGAATGTAGGGTGGGGTGGAAGAGGAGGTCAGAGCAGTGGTGGGGCTGTGGGAGAGGGGTGATGAGGGGGTAGCTGAGTGAGGGTGAAGGGGGTTGGAGAGAGTTTGAGCAGCGACGAAGTCCCTGCGGGTTATGTCGAGGGGGAGGGGGGATAAGGGGGTAACTGTGTGAGAGGGGACGGGTTGAGAGGGTGTGAGAGTTGCGGCAATGTCCTTGCGAATTGTGTCAATTTTGTTTTTGAAGTGATTGGCAATCTCAAGGGCAGTGAGTGAGGTGCTGGGTGGAGGTGGGGGTGGAGAGAGTAGAGAGTTGAAGGCAGAGAAGAGTCGGCGAGGATTGGAGGAGAGGGCCTTGATGAGGGTCAAGAAGTAGGCCTGTTTGGCAGCATGGAGGGAGGAGGTGTAGGTGCGGAAGGCAGATTTGTAGCGGGTGAAGGCTTGTTGGGATTTGGTTTTGCGCCATAGTCGCTCCAGGGCACGACTGTGTCGTTTGAGGGTTTTGGTGTGATCAGTCTGCCAGGGCTGGAGTGGTCGGGGTCTGATGTTGCGTGTGGTTAAAGGCGCTAGTGAGTCAAGGGCTGTTGAGAGCGCATTGTTGTAGGCGGGCAAAGCCAAGTCGGGGCAGGACAGGGGGAGGATGCGGTCGTGGAGTTGATCAGCTGCAGAGTGGAGGGAGGCAGGGTTAAGGTTGCGGAGGTTACGGCTGGTAGTAGTGTGACATTTGGAGGGGTAGGCGTTGGAGGACGAGGAGATAGAGAAGGTGATCAGGTTGTGGTCAGAGAGAGGGAAGGGGGTGTTAGTGAGGTTGTGGGGAGCGCAGTGGTTGGAGAAGACAAGGTCCAGGATATTTCCGTCAGAGTGGGTGGTGGATTGTATGCACTGGGGTTAGGATTGTGTACTGTACAGAATGCAAGGGTCAGGAATGTGTAATGTACAGAGTGCAGGGGACAAACATGTGTAATGTACACAGTGCAGAGATCAGGAGCAAAAATAACTTACAGCCTAGTGAACAAAATGCAGTGGTCAGGAGTATGTAATGTACTTAGTAATGGGGTGAGGAGTATATACATATACATACATATATACTGTATATGTATATATACATATATCCACAATAACACATGCACACAGACACCAAACACCACTTTCTTTACTCTCAGGTGCCTCTACTGGCATGAATGGCTGTGCTTGTCCCTACCAATAGGAAAGTCCTGAGTGGCATTTGGCTTTGCCCTGTTTAAGGCTTTCCTCCTTATATGTGTACACAACTATGGCTGCATGGAAGAAGCATACTAAGCAGCCACAACACCAAAAAACATGGGCAGCAATGTCATTGGCCTGGGGGCACCAAGCAAGAGATGCAGGGCATGTGTCCTGAGTGCCCGATGCTAGCAGTGTTTATGATAGTGGGGTCGTGTTCTAACCACCACATGACTACAACTAATGGGTAGATCGTGATTGACCTGTTGCCCCTGATATGGCTGAACAGGGGTCCTTTTGGGCCAAGCATAAACAACATTTATGCTTGAGGTAAGTGTGGGTGTGCTTGATGTGCGTCAGGCAGGTGTTGGAAATCCCCCTGAAAACAGCTTCCTTCTAGGACAGATGAAAAGTGGGAATCATTCTTCATAATGACCCAACTCTTCTTATGACTTGTGATATTCCAGAGGCCTCTGACAGTGGGAGCATCTTCAAGGGCCCCTTTGAGGTCTTTAAAGATATGAAACTGTCAGCTCCCTACAACAAAAGATGTATTACATGCACCTCTCTAGTGACTGTTATCATCTACCTCCTCTCACCCATCTCTTCCAGTTGTGTTGGATGAATCTGTCCCCACCACACATCATGGTCGCATCCAATAACCCTTAGTCATCACTGAGTCCTAGTGTGACATAGGGCTTAGAGCAGGGATCTCCATACTTTCTAAACAAAGGGCCAGTTTACTGCCCTTCAGGCTATGGGGGGACCAGACTGTGCCCATTGGGAGTAAAAAGTGCCCCATCTTTGGTATTAGAGGTAAAAATAGTTGGTGTCAGTGGGAGGAAAAGTGCCCATCGTTGGTGTCAGTGGGAGGAATAGAGCTCCATCATTAATGTTAGTGGGAGGAACAGTGCCCCATCACTGGTGTTAGTGGGAGGAACAGTGCCCCATTGTTGGTGTCAGTGGGAGGAATTATGCCCAATTATTAGTGCAAGTGGGAGGAATAGAGCTCCATCATTAATGTTAGTGAGAGGAATAGTGCCCCATCACTGGTGTTAACGGGAGGAACAGTGCCCTATTGCTGGTGTTAGTGGTAAGAATAGTGCCCCATCATTGAGAGAAATAGTGCTCCATTGTTGGTGTTAGTGGTAAGAATAGTGCCCTATTGTTGGTGTCAGCAGGAGGAATAGTGCCCCATTGTTGTCAGTGGGGGGGAATAGTGCCCCATTATTGGTGTCAGTGGGAGGAATAGTGCCCCATTGTTGGTGACAGTGGGAGGAATACTGCCCCATTGTTGATGTCAGTGGGGGTAATAGTGCCCCATTGTTGGTGTCAGCAGGAGGAATAGTGCCCCATTGTTGTCAGTGGGGGGAATAGTGGCCCATTGTTGGTGTCAGCGAGAGGAATAATGCTCCATTGTTGGTGTTAGTGGTAAAAATTGTGCCCCATTGTTGGTGTCAGCGGGAGGAATAGTGCCCCATTGTTGTCAGTGAGGGGAATAGTGGTCCATTGTTGGTGTCAGCGAGAGGAGTAATGCTCCATTGTTGGTGTTAGTGGTAAGAATAGTGCCCCATTGTTGGTGTCAGTGGGAGGAATAGTGCCCCATCATTGGTATTAGTGGGAGGAATAGTGCCCCATTGTTGTCAGTGAGGGGAATAGTGGTCCATTGTTGGTGTCAGCGAGAGGAGTAATGCTCCATTGTTGGTGTTAGTGGTATGAATAGTGCCCCCATTGTTGGTGTCAGTGGGAGGAATAGTGGCTCAATTGTTGGTGCCAGTGGAAAGAATAATGCCTCAAGGGCCTGATAAAGGCAAGCAAAGGGCCACATCTGGCTCCCAGGCTGCAGTTTGGAGGCCACTGATGTAGAGGATGGAACCATGAGAAGTGGTGGGGATCACAGTCATCTGACACTCCCATAATGTTGAATACTGAGGAAATTGGTAAGGGTAACAGTCGTGGAAGAGAACAAAGGTGATACACTGCCTCTTCTATAGCTGGAAGCTCACAGTTTATATCTTTGGTGACCTGAGAGGGTTTTGTCCACCCTGTCCTGACTGGAATAGAGACATGTCCAATGTTTTAACTGCCTCTTCACTCCTTTTGAACTTGAAATGAAGGGCATGTTTGCAGAAGGACCTCAGTGTTTGTACTTGAGGGTTTCTTCTTCCACTGCACACAACTGCAGGAAAAAAACTAAAGAATGATAACAAGGCATGAAATGGACACCTACAATATCTCACAGAAGTGAGTACACCCCTCACATTTTTTTGTAAATATTTTATTGTATCTTTTCATGTGACAACACTGAAGAAATGACACTTTGCTACAATGTAAAGTAGTGAGCGTACAGCTTGTATAACATGTAAATTTGCTGTCCCCTCAAAATAACTCAACACACAGCCATTAATGTCTAAACCGCTGGCAACAAAAGTGAGTGCACCCCTAAGTGAGTGTCCAAATTGGGCCAAATTAGCCATTTTCCCTCCCCGGTGTCATGTGACTCGTTAGTGTTACAAGGTCTCAGGTGTGAATGGGAAGCAGGTGTGTTAAATTGTGGTGTTATCACTCTCACTCTCTCATACTGGTCACTGGAAGTTCAACATGGCATCTCATGGAAAAGAGCTGAGGATCTGAAAAAAACAATTGTTGCTCTACATAAAGATGGCCTAGGCTACAAGAAGTTTGCCAAGACTCTGAAACTGAGCTATAGCATGGTGGCCAAGACCATACAGCGGTTTAACAGGACAGGTTCCACTCAGAACAGGCCTCGCCATGGTCGACACTAGATGTTGAGTGCATGCAGTTTAGACATCAATGGCTGTGTGTTGAGTTACTTTCAGGGAACAGCAAATTTACACTGTTATACAAGCTGTACACTCACTACTTTACATTGTAGCAAAGTGTCATTTCTTCAGTGTTGTCACATGAAAAGATATAATAAAATATTTACAAAAGTGTGAGGGGTGTACTCACTTCTGTGAGATACTGTACGTCTTCTAGCAAAGGATGCTATGTGGACCACCTGCGCTGTACTCTCAGCAGGAGAAAAGTCAGCACACAGCCGTGTTATTCAATATGGCCCCTTTCCCATGTCTTCTATAGGAAGTACTAGAGTCCCTGAGGGGACGCTTCACATTCAGCCACCTATTGGCTCCATCCCGGCGGAGAGCCCCGCCCCTAACACGTCTTCTCCGTGCCACAGGTGGAGTCCCCAGCCAACCCGCACTGGTGACAGTCTCCGCCTCCCCCGCCGCTGCTCGCCCTGCTGGTGACCCCGCCGCCCCATTGCATTATGGGATGGGGGATCGGAGGAGGCGGCTCGGGATCTGATGGCGGCGGATCCCATCCGGTTAAACTGGAGGCAGGTGACCTCGGCCAGCGGTCCGGTCCCTCATTCCCGGCACGGGCATCGCGCTGTGGCCATCCGGGAGCTGATGATCATCTTTGGGGGCGGAAACGAGGGGTATAGCGGAGGAGCTGCACGTCTATAACACGGGTGAGAGGGACTGTGGCGAGAGGAGGCCTGCAGGGGACCGGGGAGGAGGAGTCCTGCAGGGGACAGGGATCAGGGCCTGACCATTTCCCGTTATCTACAATGGGGGAGCACAGGGAAGTTGTGTGCAGGTATACCTAGAGAGGACATAGGACTGAGCCTTCTCTACATGAGGAGACACAGAACAAAATGGGGACAAGTAAGAGGTGTCACTGAGCCTTCTCTGTGTGTGTGCTACCTACATGAGAGGACATAGGACTGTACGAGGGGGGGGCACCGGGCCTTCTCTGTGTGTGAGAAGGGGGCACTACCTGAGAGGAGGAAAGACTGTACGAGGGGGGGGGGGCACCGAGCCTTCTCTGTGTGTGAGAAGGGGGCACTACCTGAGAGGACATAGGACTGTACGAGGGGGGCACCGAGCCTTCTCTGTGTGTGAGAAGGGGGCACTACCTGAGAGGACATAGGACTGTACTGCCTTCTCTGTGTGTGAGAAGGGGGCACTACCTGAGAGGACATAGGACTGTATGAGAGGGGGTACCAAACCTTCTCTGTGTGTGAGAAGGGGGCAGAGAGGGGACACACCGAGCCTTCTCTGTGTGTGAGAAGGGGGCACTACCTGAGAGGACGTAGGACTGTACGAGATGAGAGGTGGAGAAGGGGGCACTACCATAGGATTGTACCTTCTCTGTGTGTGAGAAGGGGGCACTACATGAGAGGACATAGGACTGTATGAGAGGGGCACCAAACCTTCTCTGTAGAGGATAGGACTGTACGAGAGGGGGGCACCGAGCCTTCTCTGTAGAAGGGGGCACTGGACCGTACGAGATACGGGCACCGAGCCTTCTCTGTGTGTGAGAAGGGGGCACCGAGCCTTCTCTCTGTGTGTGAGAAGGGGGCACTACCTGAGAGGACATAGGACTGTACGAGAGGAGGGGGGGCACACCGAGCCTTCTCTGTGTGTGAGAAGGGGGCACTACATGAGGTGGCATAGGACTGTACGAGACACCGATAGGGGGGCACTACACTGTACTGTAGAGGGGGGCACCGAGCCTTCTCTGTGTGTGAGAAGGGGGCACTACATGAGAGGACATAGGACTGTACGAGAGGGGGGCACCGAGCCTTCTCTGTGTGTGAGAAGGGGGCACTACATTAGAGGACATAGGACTGTACGAGAGGGGGAGGGGCACCGAGCCTTCTCTGTGTGTGAGAAGGGGGCACTACATGAGAGGACATAGGACTGTACGAGAGACCGAGTGGGAGGGGGGCACTACATGAGAGGACACCGAGCCTTCTCTGTGTGTGAGAAGGGGGCACTACATGAGAGGACGTAGGACTGTACGAGAGGGGGGGCACCAAAGCCTTCTCTGTGTGTGAGAAGGGGGCACTACATGAGAGGACATAGGACTGTACCGAGCCTTCTCTGTGGTGGGGGGGGCACCGAGAGGACATAGGACCTTCTCTGTGTGTGAGAAGGGGGCACTACCTGACAGGACTGACGAGAGGGGGGCACATAGGACACTACATACGACATAGGACTGTACGGGGGGGGGCACCGAGCCTTCTCTGTGTATGAGAAGGGGGCACTGAGGACATAGGGGGCACTACATGAGAGGGGGGCACTACATAGAGGACATAGGACCGTACGAGAGGGGGGCACCGAGCCTTCTCTGTGTGTGAGAAGGGGGCACTACCTGAGGGGACATAGGACTGTACAAGATGGGGCACCGACCCTTCTCTGTGTGAGAAGGGGGCAGAAGGGGGGGACTACATGAGAGGACATAGGATTCTGTACGAGAGGGGGAGAGGACACCGAGCCTTCTCTGTGTATGAGAAGGGGGCACTACATGAGAGGACATAGGACCGTAGAGGACGAGAGGGGGGGGCACCGAGCCTTCTCTGTGTGTGTGAGAAGGGGGCACTACCTGAGAGGACATAGGACTGTACGAGATGTGGGCACCGACCCTTCTCTGTGTGTGAGAAGGGGGCACTACATGAGAGGACATAGGATTGTACGAGAGGGGGGCACCGAGCCTTCTCTGTGTATGAGAAGGGGGCACTACATGAGAGGACATAGGACCGTACGAGAGGGGGGCACCGAGCCTTCTCTGTGTGTGAGAAGGGGGCACTACCTGAGAGGACATAGGACTGTACGAGATGTGGGCACCCCCCTTCTCTGTGTGTGAGAAGGGGGCACTACATGAGAGGACATAGGATTGTACGAGAGGGGGGCACCGAGCCTTCTCTGTATGTGAGAAGGGGGCACTACATGAGAGGACATAGGACCGTACGAGAGGGGGCACCGAGCCTTCTCTGCGTTGGTCGGAAGGGTCTCAAATACTTATTTTACTCACTGAACTGCAACTCAATTTATAACATCTGTATCGTGTTTTTTTTCTGATTTGTTTGGTAGATATTCTGTCTCTATCATTTAAAATACACCTATGATAAAAATTATAAGCCCTTCATTTCTTTGTAATTGGGCAAAATTATAAAATGTGCAGGGGATCAAATAATTATTTTCCACACTGTATACAGTGTTGTGTACATGTTTCTTCTTCCCAAGACAGCAGTGATTGTTGCAGCTGGCAGAAACATAAGATTTACAAAAAATAAATGCATTTTTTTCTCAACAGTTACAAATCAGTGGTTCCTTCCAGCAGTAAGGGGAGATATATTCCTCCAGGTTGTGCCGCTCATGGATTTGTCTGTGATGGGACAAGGATCCTGGTTTTTGGAGGGATGGTGGAATATGGAAGATACAGCAACGATCTATTTGAATTGCAGGTAAGGGAATGGTATCATTTCCTGTGTTTAAGGAGGAACTGCTTTTTAAAAGAAACATATGACTTTATTCTATTTTAAAATTTGATTGCTTGTCTGGGAAATATATTTAACCACTTCAAGTCCGGACATTTTTACCCCCTTCCTCTGCAGGCCAATTTTCAGCTTTCAGCGCTATCACACTTTGAATGACAATTGCGTGGTCATGCAACACTGTACACATATGAATTTTTTAGCATTTTTTTTAGACAGATAAAGCTTTATTTTGGTGGTATTTATTCCCCACTGGGATTTTTATTTTTTTGCTATATAAATGAAAAAGTCCAAACATTTTGAAAAAAAAGTGTTTTTTCTTATAAATTTTTGTAAATAAATAATCTTTGTTCATAAATCTGGCCAAAATGTATTCAGTTATCTTTTTAGTAAAAAAAAAAAAATAACCCAAATTAGTTTATAACCAAAAATTATAATTTAAACTTTTTTTTTTTACATTTTTATTTTATTTTTTTATATTATTTGTTTTTTTTTTTTACATACTGCCACCCTAGCAGTACCATGGTGACACTCTACTACTTGTGGGGGGTTATGAAGATTTGTTTTCTTTTTTTGCTTACACTGATTGCTTTTACACCCATAAAGGCTGTAAAAGCAATAATTTCTCCTTCTCTATGGCTGCATTCTTGCAGCCATTGAGAAATACTGTGTGAGCTGTGATTGTTTACAGCTTGTCACATGGTACAAGACTGTTGTGAATAGCCTTGTACCATGTGACCTCTGTGATCATTCACAGATTTCACACATAAGCAATGATGTCAGAAGTGACATCTTACTTACTACTCTTCATGTGATCACTGATTGGTCAATCAGTGATCACATGATCGGGACCTTGCACAGAGGTCCTGTACAACGATCGGTGTTCCACTGTGTCCAGAGGACACAGCGGGAACCAGATCGCGGTGCTGCACGCTCCCAGGGAGCATGCACAAGCAGAGGGCGGGGAGGCCGTTTATAAACGGCCTCCCGCCCCTGTACTGCTCCTGTCTGGCCGTTTATGTACATGGGCCAGACAGGATGGTTAAAGCTATAAGTTTTTTTTTTTTCTACATCAAGCTGAATGAAAAAACTGACAAATGATGTTTGTGCAGCCATCTCCACTTCTGTGCTATTGTGTTCCCCGTCAGGGCACACTGATCAGCACTTGCAGGCATTTGCTGAGAGCTCTGATCAGATGCCGGTCAACTGTTGGTTTTCCAGTATGCTTGTTCGACAAAAGCCGGTTGTGAGATCAGCTTCTGTTGGACGAGCAGCTGTATACACTGGCTGAACGTCGGACATTTTCTACTGTACCGGCTGATTTTGGCCAATATTCGGCCCGTGTGTACCTGCCATTAGTGTATTAAAAATAAATAAAAATATATTTTGCAGCAGCTTAATCGCTTCCTGACCGCCCTATAGCAGAAACACTGCTACAGGGCAGCGTGTGTGTGTGTGTGTGTAGATATATATATATGTACAGTTGTGTTCATAATAGCAGTGTGTTGAAAAAAGTGAATAAAGCTCAGAATCCTTGTAATAGCTTTTATTTCCATACACACAAATGCATTGGGAACACTACACATTCTATTCCAAATCAAAACATGAAGAAAAATATCAAATGTGTTGTTCCTCTAAAAAAAATTGAAGAAAAGTGAATAGTAGACTGTTCAAAAAATAGCAGTGTTTGTATTCTTCTTTACAAACTCAAACATTCACTATATAAACTGAAAAATGTTTGAAGATTTTGCTTTCCTTTGAATCACTTAATGAATATTTAGTTGTATAAGCACTGTTTCTGAGAACTGCTGTACATCTGTGTTGCATGGAGTCAACCAACTTCTGGCACCTGTGAACAGGTATTCCAGCCCAGGATGATTGGACTACATTCCACAGTTCTCTATTTCTTGGTTTTGCCTCAAAAACTGCATTTTTGATGTCACCCCACAAGTTTTCTATTGGATTAAGATCCGGGGATTGGGCTGGCCACTCCATAACATCAATCTTGTTGGCCTGGAACCAAGATGTTGCACGTTTACTGGTGTGTTTGTGGTCGTTGTCTTGTTGGAACACCCATTTCAAGGGCATTTCCTCTTCAGCATAAGGCAGCATGACCTCTTCAAGTATTCTGATGTATTCAAACTGATCCATGATCCCTGGTATGCGATAAATAGGCCCAACACCGTAGTATGAGAAACATCCCCATATCATGATGCTTGCACAACCATGCTTCACTGTCTTCACAGTGTACTGTGGCTTGAATTCAGTGTTTGGGGTTCGTCTGACAAACTGTCTCCGGCCACTAGACCCAAAAAGAACAATCTTACTTTCATCAGTCCACAAAATGTTGCACCATTTCTCTTTAGGCCAGTCAATGTGCTCTTTGGCAAATTGTAACCTCTTCAGCACGTCTTTTTTTTTTCAACAGTGGGACTTTGCGGGGGCTTCTTGCAGATAGCTTGGCTTCACATAGGCGTCTTCTAATTGTAACAGTACTCACAGGTAACTTTACACCTTCTTTGATCTTCCTGGAGCTGATTGTTGGCTGAGTCCTTGCCATTTTGGCTATTCCTCTATCCATTCAAATGGTAGTTTTTCGCTTTCTTCCACGTCTTTCAGGTTTTGGTTGCCATTTTAAAGCGTTTGCGATCATTTTAGCTGAGCAGCCTATCATTTTCTGCACTTCTTTATATGTTTTCCCCTCTCTCCAATCAACTTTTTAATCCAGTTATGCTGTTCTTCTGAACAATCTTTGGAATGACCCATTTTCCTCAGAATTTAATAGGAGAGAAATGCACTGTAACCAGAATGTACAACATTTGCTGCCTTCCTTCCTTAAATAAGGGCAATAATTGCCACCTGTTTTTCAAAGAATGAATGACCAGAATCAGCAGCATGCATGTCATGACTGTTGGGTCTGTTGGATTTCTATTACTTTCTATTACTCTACTACACCTGCTAGTAAAAACAGTGATTTATCAGGTTAGTGATATCTGACTGCTATTATTTTGAACACAACTGTATGTGTGTATATATATATATATATATATATATATATATATATATACACACACACACACACACACACACCCTGTTCCACATTATTATGCAAATGATATTTTTCTCATTTGCCTAAATAATTGATGTAAATAACAGTCAGCATAATTCTCATGTTATCAACTATTAAGAGTACAATTCAAATTTTATTGAACAAACCTCCTAATGATAACAGTATTTTTTTTAAACATAAAAAACTTACAATGCACTGTTCCAAATTATTACACACAGTAAATTTCAAAACACTTTATAGGTTGTAAAGAACTGAAAATTGTCATTTGTTGCGTTTGCAGCGTATTTACTGAAATCAAAAGCTATTACAATCAAACTTTTTAAACATTTTAACAGGTCACGTTACATTTTAACATAGGACCCCTTTATTTGATAGCAGCTTCACAAGTCTTGCATCCATTGAACTTGTGAGTTTTTGGACAGTTTCTGCTTGAATTTGTTTGCAAGATGTCAGAATAGCCTCCCAGAGCTGCTGTTTGGATGTAAACTGCCTTCAACCCTCATCGATCTGTTGCTTGAGGATGCTCCAAAGGTTCTCAATAGGTTTGAGGTCAGGGGAGGATGGAGGCCACACCATGACTTTCTCTCCTTTTATCCCCATAACAGCCATTAATGCAGAGGTATTCTTTGCAGCATCAGATGGTGCATTGTCATGCATGAAGATGATTTTATTACGGAAAGCATAGTTCTTCCTTCTGTACCAGGGAAGAAAGTGGTCAGTCATAAACTCCACATACTTTGCAGTGGTCATCTTTACACCTTCGGGGCCCCCAAAGGGGCCGACCAGCTCTGTTCCCATGATTCCGGCCCAAAACATGAATCCACCACCGTCTTGCCGAAGTCGCAGCCTTGTTGGAACAGGGTGGCCGTCCACCAACCATCCACTACTCCATCCATCTGGACCATTCAGGGTTGCACGGCACTCATCAATGAATAAGACTGTTTGAAAATTAGTTTTCATGTATTTTTCTGCCCAGTGCAGCCATTTCTGCTTGTGAGCATTGGTTGGTGGTGGCCGAATAGAAGGTTTATGCACAGTTGCAAGACTCTGGAGGACTCTACACCTTGATATCCGTGGGACTCCAGAGGCACCAGCAGCTTCAAATATCTGTTTGCTGCTATGTAATGGTATTTTAGCAGCTGCTCTCTTGATCCGATGCATGGATCTGGCAGAAATCTTCCTCAATGTGCCTTTATCTGCACGAACCCGTCTGTGCTCTGAATCAGCCACAAATCTCTTAATAGTGCGATGATCACGCTTAAGTTTTCGTGAAATATCTAATGTTTTCATACCTCATCCAAGGCATTGAACTATTTCACTCTGTTCGGCAGCAGAGAGATCCTTCTTCTTCCCCATATTGCTTGAAAATGGTGCTCTGCTTAATAATGTGGAACACCCTCCTTTAGTAGTTTTTCCTTAAATTGGGCTCACCTACCAATCTAATTATCACAGGTGTCCGAGATTGTTTTCAGTGATCAAAAGAGCCCTGACACACAATGCCATCCATGAGTTTAACTGAAAAACAAAATATTTAATCTTTGTGACAATTAAATAGAATTTGCATAATAATTTGGAACAGTGTGTGATAGAGATATATATATATATATATGTGTGTGTGTGTGTGATTTTGCATTTCCGGGTGCGCCCTACCCACGACGCTATTTTGCGGCCGCAGCTGTCAATCACTGGGTTCCGGCCAGTGATTACTCGCCAGCGCCCGGTGATTGCCGAGCATCTCCGACGGGGAGAAGAACTGTTTGCAAACAAAACAGGTGTTCTCCCTGTCAGCTCTGCACACTGCTTACAGTGAAGCACACAGACACAGTACTTAGTAAAACAGCACACAGTTAACCCTTCTGAATGCCCCTCATGTTAACCCCCTTGCTGTCCAGTGCCATTA